TAATTTGATGAAGTTATTGGAACGACTCGTATTTGCACTACTTTTACCATCCACAAGCAAATGACTTAATTGAGCGGTTCCATCGTCATTTAAAAGGAGCTTTGCGAGCTCAGTCTCTCTACCACTCATGGTCTGAAGCGTTACCACTAGTGCTTCTAAGTATCTGGACAGCAATCAAAGAGGATCTCCAATTCTCAACTGCCGAGTTGGTATATGGAACCACACTCCTTCTCCCTGGTGAGCTTATCTCTCCTTCTCCCGTCCTTACTCCTTCTGATCACTCTGATTACATCACCAGACTTTGCTCTTTTATGGCTCAGTTAAAAGCCACACCTCCTCGTACTCCTGGTGAACATCAAACTTTCATTTATCCCACTCTACTCATGTTTTTGTTAGACTGGATTCAGTTAAACGACCATTACAATGTCCGTACGATGGTCCATACGAAGTTCTTAATCGTACTGACAAGTATTTCACTATAGATCTTCAGGGTAAACATGATAGCGTCAGTATCGATCGATTAAAATCAGCCTATTTTGAGTCTCCTAATTCCATGTCCTCTCATCATAACTCATCTACTCATTCTCCCACTGCCCTTTCTTCCTCAGACACTACAAGCTCGGATACCAACGTTACTCGTACAGGTCGGCATATCAGGTTCCCCCAACGACTCAATCTATAGACTGGTATGTCAATTTATTATCATCATCATTGTTATTATTATTATTATTATTATTATTATTATTATTATTCTTATTAATTATTGCTATTATTATTATGACCATTATGGTTTGCAATCATTGAAAGAGAATATATATTTATATATATATATATTATTATTATTATTATTATTATTATCATTATTATTACTATTATTATTGTTGCTGTTACCATTATCCTTATTGTTACACTTCCTTCTCTAATTTTCTCCTCTTTATTGTTCATAATAACTTGGCTATTAATTACTTTTTATCCTTATTTTTCACTTTTTCCTATTCTTGTTTCTCAATTTTGTCTTTCTCTTCCTTCTTGAATTTCTTTTTTGTATCGCTCACCTCCTCTCTGGTGGGGCAGTAATGTAGTAGATGCCATTTGCTTATGCGCATGCGCATCAGAGACACATGTTCATGAATTTTGATTGTCCTTTAGTCTTTTGTATCTCTTTATTCTCTATCCCTCTTGATCTTTATCTGTGATAACATTTCCATTATAAAATATATTCGTTGAGATCGTCACTCTTAACACACCTGAGGTAGACAAACTATTGAAAGCCTGTACTCCAGTAATCAAAAGTCTACTAGGAGACAACACTGACAATCAAGCTGAACAAAGTCTTCTCACAATATAGGATATGATGGTCGTAACATATTTAAAAAGAGACGATTACAATATATCAATTGTCATATCCTCTCACTTAGTTATTTAATCTTTCATTATGTATTCTTTTATACTGTTACATTTTTCATAACAATTATTCTACATGGAATAAATTGTTGTTGAATGTAAGCAACACCTTAGAATTTGGCATCAGATACAATTTAAGCATTTGTGATTTCTGTTAGAAAATAATTAAGTGCCATATTAAACTTTAACGAATGATAAATGTTTCAATTTGCCATCTTGGACATCTAGATGCCTATTTTCTGCTGTGCTGAGACGCACTAACTGGCAAGGAAAGTTAAACACGACCTTTTTTCGATTTGTAAAGGATGAAAGACACAGATTAGCGTGGATAGCAGCAGTAAAACGTGAAAAGTGGCAGCCTACCATCTATTCAAGGATATGTAGCAGCCACTTTATTGATAGTATTCATTACTATTTAAATGTTCCTTACCTCACATTTTTGTAGGTAAATATTCTAAAGATCCCAGAGCAATAAATTATGCCCCAACAATTTTTGTCTACAAAAAATAATTCTGTGGCAACAGGCAATGGTGTCCCATATGGAGAGAGCAGTTAATCAATCAAAAAGAAAAGAGAGGGATCATTTAAGTGTAACTGCAATGATTTTTTATGGTATTTATTTTATGGTCTTAATATGATTGCCTGACCATAATAATGTGTTCCAACTCCTATTGTCTAAAAAATTTATTC